CTAATTATTTAAGTTTACGAATAACTAAAGTAGTGTAAAAATAAATAAGCATAGAGTCTAAATAAAACACGTTTATATTAAAGATAAAGGTATCTCAAGGAACACATAAAATATATATCATGAAAGATGATAACCATCAAATTCGTATGAATAATTTATGTGATCGGTAAATATAACCATAAGATTAATAAAAACATGTACATTTGTATTATTAAATTAATAAGAACTTTAGTTATAAACAAAAGTTGCATGAGTGACAGGTGCCAGATGAATAACATATATATATATATATATCAATTATAATTGCAAACAGAAAATAAATTATAAATAACATATAATTTATAAAAATATCAATGAAAATAAGTCGTTACAATCAGTTGATAATCTGCTTATGCACCTATACCAAGTACCTAATTCAGTTATTTAGCATTAGACAAAATAACGATAATGTTAGGTGTACGTTAAAATACACCTTTGTAAAAACAGCCAAAAGTGAAGTATACACGCTTTATAGAATGGCATGAAATTCACAGAATGCAATTTAGAGAATATATAACTAAATACACAGTTTTTGAAGAAACCTAGAAATCTATAAATTATTAGGATAACATTTTGAAAAAGTTCATTACGTAATAATGGTGAAAAACATCCTTAAGTAAAAGTTCATTACGTAACGATAGTGAAAAACATCCTTAAGTAAAAGTTCATTACGTAACGATAGTGAAAAACATCCTTAAGTAAAAGTCCCCAACGTTATGATGGTGATGAGCAATATCATTAGATAAAAGTAGCCTACATAACAATGGCGGTGAGAAACATCATGGAAAAGTATCTTATTAGGTAATAGTTTCATAGATCAAGGTGGTGATAACAACTCTAATACTAGGTACAAGTTTTTATTGGTATACTAAGTGAGAATTTGATAAAGTCTGTTTATTGCCCTAAAATGCATAATATATTTTAAGTATTTTCATTTCAACTACATTTACATGAAAATCTCTGAAATTTAAAAGTTTATTGTATTGATTCGTGTTAGTGTTTAGAAAACAAATAGAAATGAACCAATAATTGCGCTATGAATGAACAATGTAACTTAGATACATACATAGATGAATGAAGACTCATAAGCAAGGGTAAATGAACAGGTAGAATAGGTGATCTTAAATACCTGAGTTTTTCTTTCTAAACAGCTTCAGTCATTAACTTTTTTTCACGCTGATTGGTTTAAAATGTAAATATCTTGAAAATAATACAATATTCTACTGTAAGACATTTAGAAAAGACGAATCTGTAGAAGAAACAACATAGAAGAACGTCTCACCTTCCAATGCCAAGTGAAATGAGAAGAGACACTGAAGATACACCCCTATCACAAACCAGTTGGACCAGATGGAAGTAAACATCACTAGTCCTTCTTGAGAACACTGATTTTTGTGTCAGTTAAATCCAAAACCCTTTTGCAGTGTTCCTAGTGAATGAGAAACTGGCGTTTTCACAAAGTAATGTTTTTCTAATCTTGCTTGCTGAACAAAACAAGACATTCATTCCAGCTACAGAACCCCTTTCCTCAAACAGTCATACAGAAGAAACATGTAATGCATCAAGTTTAAAAACAAGCATCTCAGAGACGTGAACTCCCTCAAACGTCTATCTACTCTCTGCATCAGCGCGTTTGCTGCCGCCCCACGTCGTGACGTGTGGAAGTCATGTGGCCTAGCTGGTGGCGCATTACTAATCTTGGGTCGACCTATACAAGTGAACGTTTTGTAAATAAGAATCTTCGTTGTTTTCTTGTAAAATCTTGCGACACGCAGATAGCTGTCCTGGATTTCATGCAAGTAATTTCATACATCTGGATATAGAACTAAGTTCTTTCTTAATGGTGAAATATGAAAGTGGTAAGAATAAACTAATGGAACAGAAGGCCATCTGAGGAACAGAAATTAGGACAATTTTGTAAAATAAAACTAGGGGTTATGTTATGTTTGTAGTTATGCACAAAGCTACACAATGAGCTATCTGTGCTCTGCCCACCACGGATATCGAAACCCGGATTCTAGCGTTGTAAGTCCGCAGACATACCGCTGTCTCACTGGGGGGGGGGGGGGGCAAAACTAGGGGAAAAGGTCCTGATGCTAAAAGAGGTTAATATTGAACTAGGGGGGGAAGGTCTTCATACCAAAATAGGTTAATATTGAAATAAGAAGGAAATGTTCTGATGCCAAAAGAGGTTAATATTGAAATAAGAGGGAAATGTTCTGATGCCAAAAGAGGTTAATATTGAAATAGAAGAGGACTAATTTCTTAAGTAAAACTTGTTTGATCTGTTTGCACGTTCTAAAGAATAATTCTAAAAATTAGCTGTTCATATAAAATCATTTGAAATATATATTTACAATCAGACATTTTTTGGTGTTAAGATCATTCCCAGTTTCGGTTAGAAAATGAGAAACTTCAACACAAGACAAATATTTATGCAGCACTTCGGAAATCTTTCAGGTTTTTCCCTAACAAGCTATCTTTACATTCTCCTACATTTCATTACGTTTCAGATTAAACCACAGAAGTAAAATGATTCACAATCGCAAGTATTAATTGCAGTCCTAAAACCGAGTGCATTTATAGTAACTAAATATAGCTAATTATTTTGTGTAGATATTCGTCAGGATAATGCTTGATACCAGTAATGGTTTTACTTTGGATTCAGAATCTCGAAGCGAAAGATATTTTATTACTTACTTTTCACACGATAAAGTCCGGGCGTGTCATATTCAAAATTGTTACCACAAGACCGACGTCTCTTTGTAATCTATCGTAACATACGAAAGTACAAGTCTGTATGTACAACGGATCATGGTAACCACCAACGAAATACTTTAGTCTGTAAATACCAAGTATCAGCTATACCGATAACTGCACGCGAAGAATGTAAGACTGTATGTGCCAGATATCCCTAAAACCATATACTATGAACGTACGTCTGTATGTGCCATATATCCTGACCACCACACGCTAAGAATGTAAGTCTTATGTGTCAGGTATCTTGATAACTACATGCGAATAACTTAACTCTGTATGTATTACGTATCAGGTATCCCGATAGCCCTACAAAAGAGCTTAAGTCTGTATATATCAGGTAGCCTGGTAAATACACACAAAGAACCTACGTCTATATGTACCGGACTTATCCCTGTCGCCTCACACGAAGAACCTACTTCTATATGTACCAGACTTATCCCTGTCGCCTCACACGAAGAACCTACGTCTATATGTACCAGACTTATCCCTGTCGCCTCACACGAAGAACCTACGTCTATATGTACCAGACTTATCCTTGTCGCCTCACACGAAGAACCTACGTCTATATGTACCGGACTTATCCCTGTCGCCTCACACGAAGAACCTACTCTATATGTACCAGACTTATCCCTGTCGCCTCACACGAAGAACCTACGTCTATATGTACCAGACTTATCCCTGTCGCCACTCACGAATAACTTGTATGGAAAATGGTCTGTGATCAGCCCAAATAAAAGACAATGTTATTTATATTTCAATTTAGACTTAAAGTGAAACATTCGGATTTGTCTGGTATCTTCATTATCTCTGTGAACATTATAAAGTAGTCCAGCTATTGTTAACTCAATTTTACTTTTAGAAATAATTCTCTTAACGAACACTTTGGTGATCTTAAATCACGCTTTAGAAAAATGTATAAATTTTTCACATTGTTCCTTTATTGGTTAACTTACTTTCCTGTGGAATATATTCGGGCTTAGCATATCAATTACCTTAAATGATATATGAAGGTAAAATGGGCCATTCAGCAACTCACTGCTACTTCTTTATTGACTTTAAATGAAGGATGTCACGGAGATAGGTGATTACAATCAAGGGCCATTTTTCATAATGTCTCTAATTAGAAGAAAATGGTCGTAAATGGGAAATCATTAAACTAGGTAATGGTGACTGCAGATTAACTCACTTTATATGTTAACCAATCATCAGTCACTTATCTCGAAACAAATTAAACCGTCCACCATCTTGCTCTTGAGTGTATGAAATACGTTCAAGGGAAATATTTGGCTTTCCCCACGCGCCTTAAAACATACAATCGAAAGAAAAAGTCAGTTAGGTTTATGAATCTGATACAGCTGTATAGATAGGAGAAAAATATCAACATTACTCAGCTGAACCCGACAAGTCTATTCTTTGCCACTTATCAGAACCTTCAGTTCACAGTTTTCCAACACTGTCCTGTCCGATCTTCTCTCCTGAGATGCGTGATTAATGTTATTAGCTTCAAAGTGATACCTTCCGCTTGATTACACATTTCAGAGCTATGAACATATCGTTTGCTATATTATAAATACTTCAATACGTCTACATGTATGCTATTTCTCACACATTTCGGTTTTACACATGTCGTTTTGATCAGATTTTCCTTTTATTTTAATATGTATTTGTTGGTGAATGTGGATATCCACAAGTGCATCTTTATATAATATTAACTATCACTCTCACTGACAATCTATACTTCTATGTAAAAATCTATATTAACATGGCTCAAATCCGAAAGAATGGGAAGAAAGTCTTGAGCGTGGCCTACAGATAATGGTTGGAATACTCCCTGAAATACTTCTTGACCCATCTGTTGTTTTTTAGTTGTAACACTTTAGCTGGTTATTGCGTTTTCCATCTTTGACATGCAGAATTTGTGCTTCTGACCGATACCCAAGTGGTATCGAAATAAATACTTAAATATATCTATCATAATAACTTAAAAAAATATATGTAATTCTTCTAAGACATATAATAGTAAATATAAATATCTATACATATAAAACACTTCATAAGCTATTTACATATATTATCATGAATAAGGTTTTGCAAAGACATTTAATTTGACAATCTGCTAATATCTTAGGTTGGAAAACAATGAACTATCTGGAAGCTTATTTAAAGGATGCTTAAATAGAACAGAGAAGGTAACTCATCCAAACAAGTCCCCTGCTGGATAAGCTGTAAGTTTTCGGACTTACAATCTGGAGTTCGATTCTTCGAGGTAGATAGAGCATAAAAAATCCTCTGGGTAGGTTTGCGTTAAAATCAACCAACATCAACACCCAAACAAGCATAAGTACAACTTTTAACTAGAACATAGAAACTGATTCACATAAACAAATATACCTGTTAACTTGAACAGAGATGCTACTCGCCTAATCATGTACAACTACTAATTGAACGCAGAAGCTGCCTCGCCTAAGCAAGCACAACTTTTAACTGGAACTGAGAAGCTGGCTCATCGATACAAGCACAATTATTAACTGGAACTGAGAAGCTTGATCGCTTAAACAAGCACAACTATTAACTGGACTGAGAAGCTGGCTCATCTATACAATCACAACCATTAACTGCAACTGAGAAGCTGCTTCATATATACAGGCGCAACTATTAACTGGAACTGAGAAGCTGGCTCATCTATACAGGCACAACTATTAACTGGAACTGAAAAGCTGGCTCATCTATACAATCACAACCATTAACTGCAACTGAAAAGCTGGCTCTCATAAACAAGCTCAGCTATTAACTGGATTGAGAAGCTGGCAAATCTATACAAGCACAGCTATTAACTCGACTGAGAAGCTGGCTCACCTGAGGCTACTGTTAACTAAAACATTGTAATCTGTTTAAGTTGAAATGTTGACAGAATCAAACTAGTTGCTTATGAGATATTTAAAGCACTGAAAGCTAAGTTTCTAGAACTTGTAAAACTTGTGGATCTCTTTTGTGTAATACAATATTTATTTTAAAACTTTTTCATCGTCAACTTCACAAATGTTAACTCAATATATCTAGTTTTATTATTTTTAGATCAACTCGATTTAACTTACTGCTGCACCGTAAACAAAGCAAATGTTAATAAGAAATAACAAAGTAGCTCTAATGTCTTAGGAAAAAACAAAATACTTTGAATCATTTTTTTTTAGAAAGTCCTTTGAAAGATACAAAATAATTTCTTAAGTATTAGGAAAATAACTCTAAGACGTTTTCTTTTGTGCGTATGAGTTTTATCCTAAGAACATATTCATTGATTTAAAGAAGCAAAAATGAGGTAATTGTAGTAAATTCCAATATATCATAAAGACAGCGAAGCAGATGATTTGGCATGAAATTAATGCTTCAAGAAAACAGGAAGTAGAGAAATGTTCTATATTTTCTCAACTTTTCTTTATCTTGTGATTACAAGTAAAACGTCAATGTGTGCTTGTATAAAAATATTACCTTCAGTTATAAACACTTCAAAAGTTATAAATGAACCACAACAAAGGAACCTCGCTGAAAAGCTATTTAGTTTAGAATAGAAACAAACAAAACAGAAATGTTATCGAATGTTGAGAAAGATAGTATAGTTTTGGCTTTAATGGAATAGTCCTGCCTGTTTCTAGAGTGGAGCGAAGTTTCGACTTTTATACTAAGACATTCTTCATAATAACGTGTTGATAATGAAGTAAGAGTAATACATAATTAGAAAAACATCTTTATCCTGTCCTGATAAAGTTCAGACAATTATATCTGTTGACTTTGTAATTCCTTAATAATTGCCATTACAACAATGTCGAGTTATCCCAACAAACATTAGAACT